CCATTTACATTTGAAATGTCATAGGAAACTGTGGTAAAATAGATGTTCCACGTTTAAAAGACGAGCAGTAAGAAGGAAAGCAATGTTTGCTGAGATATCACACAGATGTTTCCATTTGAGTTGCTCTCCATGCTTTTTCAGGATCAATTATTGAAATAATATTATAATTTCAAGCAAATTGATTAATTAATTTCAGATTCTTGAAAAATGAATGAGAAAAAATTGAAAGGAAGTAGCGGTGAAGAAGAAACTGATCAAGCATTACAGGGTTCTTCTTCAGGATTTGAACCATTCTTTGAGACTGGAGAAGAAATTGGTTTAGTGGATTCATCATCAGTTTCAGCTGCACCAGGTGCTTCGACCACTTCATCTATATCGGGTAGTAGTCAATCGTCGAATCCGAATGTTGCAGCTGATGATAAGGTTGCATCAGTTCTAGCAAAATTATCAGTACCAGAGTTATGGGGTCAATATGTGAAATGCCTAATGATGTCAGTACCATCGAATGTTGGACGAGAGAGCTTTGAAAGTGGTGCAGGAAAAAATGCTGAAAAGTATTTGGAACAAATTTTGAAACTCTCGCCAGGTTAATTAATTAGTTAATTAATTTTTCAATTTTCTAATAATAAGAAAAATATATATATATAATTATAGTAAGAAATATGTGTTACTTATTTAGATAAAATATTTTATTATAAAATTGAATTTTCTGTGAATTAGATTACACTGTAACTCATATTCTGTTTATATAATGCACCTGTATAAACCTTAATTTAATTTTATTTATTTTTTAATTACTAGCCAACATCACTACATTGTAGAATTTCTCCTTGGAAAAACTCATTCATATTTCAAAAATTATATAAATGTGTTACATGACCTTTTTTGGTCTAATATTTTATCACGTAAAATCATGAATTTATAATTCATAATATGATGAATTTATAATTTTGCAGCGATCAGAATAATTTTCTAATATAATGAATTTATAATTTTACAATGATCAAAAAGAAATTAATTCGAGAATTTCTATATTACAGTATCGTCCACGAAAAGTGGTGATCCTCTGCAGGTACCATGCTTTGATCCTGCAAGAGAGAGTGAAATCAGTGAAGACGAAAAATATAAAGTTGAAATAGTTAAAGCAACTAAAGCAGATAGTGAACTAATATGGAATACAACTGCACAGGTATAAACTTTCCTTATATTATTGTTATAATTTATATCTTCTTGAATTTGAAATAAAATTCAGTTCACTAATTATGCATTTATTTATGTAACAGATTATTGTTAGATACTACAATAACTAATTTAACTATATATTTAGTGATATCATTTCGATTATTTGCTATTACTAAAAATTATTTCGATTATTTTCATCACTGATAAAATTCGTGAATTAGTTATTTCCACTACTCTTATAAATTTTTTTGAAATTCTTTTTAGTTACAAGCATTAGTTCTCATAAAGAGAGGTTATGGACCAGCGGTTGGATTGAATGAACTCAGAAAATTTAATACGGCAATGCAAGAAGCAGCAGAGATTTATCGTGATTCTATTAGTTCCAGTCAGGTATACTAAGATTCACTTATGACCTTCCTGATAATAAGTATTTTTTTTGAAAAGTTGAATTAGCAAAAATTGTAAAGTCTAAAATGATCACTCAAAATATCGTATATCAACTAATGAATATTCATCATAATAAATATATTTGTTAATTCAACTTTTAAAAATATTTATTATCAGGAAGGTTTAATCAAAAGGTTATCAGGAGATTTAATCTTTTTTGAAAAATATTATCAGGAGATTTAATTCTTGCTAAAAATGAATGAATAAGGTATATCATTTATTCAATTTCTATCTTTAATTTTAATTAAACTGCTACTTCTATTCCTTTATTAAATAATGAACGATTCATTCCATTATTATCAATTTATCTTTTAAGATCGTTAAATATTGACTATAAGAATGAATGTTATTTAAAAGTGTATGCGTATAATCATTTACTACAAATGAGTTATTTTAGGATAGGTCAGTTAGTCGCGTTGGTACTTTTCAATATCGTATAAGTTATGCTGATAAAACTGAAGCTTATCATGTGGATGCAATGCGAAATTTAATTTTGGGACAATTACCACCAAGTGTACGTTTTTTTACGGAACAAACAAAAAGTGAAAAATTGAAGAGTGCATTGCAGGAAAAGAAACAAAAGCGTAGACGTAAACAGTAATTTGAATTTCGCAATTTTTTACGATCAAATTTTATAGTATTTCGAAATGTTTGTTTTGTTTTGAAATTTCTGTTAAACTAAGATGACAGCTTTTTTTTAACGTAGAAATTTCAAAATTTGAAAAAATCTTTTTTTATCAATTATTGTTATTTGTGAATGAATTCTACCAGCTTTCATTTTTTCAATTCTACCAACTTTCAATTTTACAATTCTACCAGCTTTCAATTTTTCAATTCTACCAGCTTTCAATTTTTCAATTCTACCAGCTTTCAATTTTACAATTCTACCAGCTTTCAATTTTTCAATTCTACCAACTTTCAATTTTACAATTCTACCAGCTTTCAATTTTACAATTCTACCAGCTTTCAATTTTTCAATTCTACCAGCTTTCAATTTTACAATTCTACCAGCTTTCAATTTTACAATTCTACCAGCTTTCAATTTTTCAATTCTACCAGCTTTCAATCATCTATAATCTAATTTCTGAAATATATATTTTTTTGTTTACAAATGTTTCCTAAAATTGCAAATAATTTTGAGCGGAAATTTAATCAAATATTATTTCGATCATTGTCTTCTTGTCTAGCAATAATTTACATTTTTTAGCATTTACATAATTTGTATGAATCACATATTCCTTCTTTATTTTGGATGATTTAAATTCATAAAAATGTTATCTGTGAAGGAATGGAAAGATTCAATTCTTTACTTACTTAATGACCTCAGATGGAAAGATCAATATCGTTCTTTAAACTATGTGTTGAATTATATTATTTTGAATCGCATATACCTTCTTTACTTTGGATGATTTAAATTCATAAAAGTGTTCTGATTCAATTCTTTACTTAATGATCTCAGATGGAAAGATCAATTTCGTTCTTTGAACTATGTGTTGAATTATTAGTATACTGTTTTGATACTTTTGTTTTGTTTGATAAGTAGTCAATTTGATTTCTTATACTTGTTATTTATTGATTATCATTTCTTATTCAATTCAATTACTTATTTGAATTTTACTCTGAAAATTAAGTGCTTCCATATGAATTTAAATGGTTCTATCATTGTAAGTTAACAGCAAATAGAAATGCAATAGTAGTAGTAGTAGTAGTAGTAGTAGTAGCGAGTGGGTAAAAATAATTTTGCGATATTGCATATTATGCAAAATTCAATCTAAAAATTCGTGCCTTACATATTGGTAGCAATAAAGCGTTAGTTGAATCCTCAGAAAATCATAGAAATATAAAAAGCTTCAATCAAATCAATAATCAAATAGATGACCCTTGACCTCGTTTGTAATGACAAGAAAAAGATGGAGGGTCTGAACAGCAGGATATATAAATAGAATGTTGTGGTTGTGGTTGTTAGTATAATAATGTTTCCCTCTTCGCGTTGCTTATGGTCATTAGGTCAATATACGAAGATGAACTGCGACTTTTCATCAAATTGATTTTGCATCTATCTTGCCAAATTTTACTTTTATTACCTTTCAATCTGCACCTATTCATTTGCTCTTTATACATTTTAGATTCCAGTCAATTTACACTAATCTGAAATTTGGACCATATTGACTTCACTTGCATTTGAATCTCTCTATTATAATTCGAAATCTCAATTGATTGGAAACAAAATTGCGTAGTTGTTCTGCGTTAAATAGTTGCATCATATGACGCCCGGGAAGCTTAGACTTTTGCAATTTGATTTTTATTGGGATGGGGGCTAGGGTGTGGTGATTTGGGATGAGTTGTTTGGAGGTTGGTTGGTGATGAGTTTTTAATGGATATATCTATTTGGACAAATAATAATACTTTCATGGAAATCATTTACAAATTATTTGATCTTGGTTGAAAATCCTTCGTTGATACAGCAGAATCCAGTATACGTTAAAATTTTTCTGCACATTATCATTTCTTTAACTTATAACATGATAACATGATAGCAGTTTAGCTTACAGAGCAAGAGTGGTAGTTTTGATCTATGGCTTACATGACCATTATCGATCATTTATGATCTTATTTTTATGCTCTCAAAAACTTAGGAAAGGTTTCCGTTTTTTCTTGCACTGATTTTTAAAATAGCTGTGAAAGAACATAGACGAAATGGCTTGCATTTCAATTCTTTTTGCAGTAAAATCTCTCTTACAATACTGAAAACATCACTGATGATTAATAATGATTTAGTCTTCTGTTATAAATCTGCAAATTAATTTTTGCGAAGGCGCATCTATACTAATTTTCGTGTCATTAAAATAAAGTGCTATAAAGGAGTTGTGCTAGCGATGTTGTAGATTGGAAAATGCTGATACAACATGTATTTATAATTAACCGAGCTGGAAGCTTGATTTACGATTGGGATGGCAAAGTTGATTGCACAGGTGTTGAGAAGACATTTAGTTATCCGCTCGATATTGTCCTTGATATCGTTGACCAGAAAGTGACTGTTGTGTTTGGTGAACGGGATGGAATCGGTCTCAGGTTCGTCTATTTCTTTAACTTTCTCATCAAATCTTTTGACAATAACAAAATGCGTATAAATTTTCATTATTATTTGTTGACACACAAACTATCACTATCATACTTCGATTATTAATGAGGTCCTTCTAAAACAAGTTTGCTTGAAATTTAGTTGACATTAGTTGAATACTGCTTATTCATTGTTTTTTAAGTTCAAACAAATTTGTTTAGATACACAGTGTCTGCAGTAAACGGCGCCCCAGTGCAAGCATGTAAAGTGATCTTTGATGGTGCAGAGAAGATGGTATTGGATGTTATCCAAGACGAAATGAACTATCCTCTAAGCATACGTTTCCAGCCTCCAACAATCACAACAAATGAAAAGATCATCCTTTCGAGTACATTCCATTCCCTTTACACAATCGCTGCTCAGTTAAGTCCTGCTTTGAAAAGTTCTGGTATTCAAGTTCTATTCACGAATCACTTCAAGTAAGTATATTTTTATATTTATTTCCTGTGGTTGATTTTTATGTAAGTGCTACATTACGGAGTTTGCAGAATCAAGTTGCAGCTGTATGGTTATTACTAATCGATATTATTCCTTGATCTTTGTTTTTACTCTTTGTATTTTAATTTTCAAGCACATTTAGTATTCTGCCTTTTAGGAAGCAGTTCTGAAACTTATGCTAAGCGTGTAATTGATAGATATGAAATAGTTATCTTATACAAACGATATAAATATTCTGAAAGGTGTTTTAAACTAATAGTGTAACGGCTAATGTTTTTCAAATTTTCGGAACTTATTGTTATAGGAACAGTTTTCCCTTGTAGCGTTAGCGATGTTGATCAAAGTCATTTAATATTTTATCAGCGCCGTGACATGTGTTTCGATTTTCTCTTTGTGATCAAGACGATTCTTAGAACGTTTGATAAAAAGGTGATATTCAAAAGAAGTGGGATTTGCGGAAATTTACGACGTATTGCCTCTTCTTGTTTTGAAGGAAGATTGTTAAAGAGAAAGGTTATCCTTGTAGGCTTTACTGTTACCAATCGACGACAGGAGTGAAATTTGTTGTTGTTGGTTCGTTATCACTGAATCATGGTGTCGATGGACTTTTGCGACGGATTTATGAGCTTTATGCCGATTTCGCCCTGAAAAATCCTTTTTACTCAATCGATATGCCAATACGATGCCAAAGGTTTGATGATGCAATCCGAAACCTCATAGAAAGGCAGGACAAATTTAGCATGTTAACAATTTGAATTTGTATAGATCGAAATTCATTTCATTAAGGATTTAGTTTTTTTGTCAGTTATTATAATCTGGATTCAATTATATTTTCAAAAACTATGGATGGAAGCTAATAAGCGTCATATCTTATTATGAAAGAATTTATGTTTCTTATTTGGAGCTAGATAAAAGTGAAAAATCATTAGTAAAACATTTTTTGCTAGCAATGGAGATGTGCGTTATATTAAAACATTCTTTTTTGATACATTAATTGAATGAATTATGAGCACAGTGCTTCCAAAATAAGTGGTTAGTTCTGCACTTCTTGTATTTTTTGTTATCGAGAATTTAAACTATTGTTAACTGTTAATTTTTTTCAAGAGGTATTTGTTTTAGCACCTTCCTTTTCCTATTTGTTCCAATCATTAGTTAAATTCATGTTTGTATGAGTTCATATTAAAAAGTTATTTAATTTTATAAGGAGGGAGCCGTAGTTTGCCGAAATAATTTGATAGACTTGTTTTAAATTTTATGATAAAAATTGCTTCATCAGTTATTATAATCTGGATGTAGTTATATTTTCAAAAACTATGGATGAAAGTCAAGAAGCACCATGTCATATCACTTCTTGTTTCTTAGCTAAGTGAAAATGAGGAATCATTTGTAAAATATTTGAAAGTGAGAAATCATTTGTAAAATATTTGAAAGTGAGGAATCATTTGTGAAACATTCCTATTTATTTTGTAAAATTATAAAAAATAAAATTTTTTGCAAAATTGTTCAAATAAATATGAGCGGTTATTCGTTATTTCTACTTATTTTTCCACTAAATGTTGTTAAAACTGATCGTTCCGAAAAAAATATGTTTATGTTTTTATAATTCGTAGATTGCATATTATTTCTTGCATGTAAAGTTTATTTTCAAGCTGTATTGCTGATTACGCTACTTTTATTGGAAGCAAAAGCTACTTTTTATAAATTTTTTCCAAAATTTTTAATCTTATTAGTTTCTGTAACTGCTTTTGGCAGAATTTAAAACTGCGTGATTCAACGATACTGCAGTTTAAAACATTGCGTTTTCCAATGCTATTTGTTAGTCGGTGTAAAGAAGCAGCGATTCGATGAGGTCTACGCGCCATTTTTACGTGAGAGTATGTAATAGAAGAGTGAATAGGTATCAAAACTTTCAAAATATTCACAAGTATCAAAATTTTCAAAAAAAAAAAATTCACAAGAAATTTGGATGCTGCTGCTCGTGGGTTCAATTGACTGATTCTGGCGGAAGCTCTTTTTGATAGAAGAATCAATCTGATAAGCAT